CGCAGATGTACCGGAGGAGACGCCCGCGCCCGCCGCCGCCCCTTCGCCCGCCTCCACGCCACCCACCCCACCGCAAGCAGTCGTGATGACTCCCACGTCCCCGTTCCCCATCGCCCCGCAGGTGCACAGCAGAGCAGGTTTCCAAAAATCAACACCCCAGGCCTCACAACACTGAAAAAAGTATACACAGTTTTGTACGCAAAACCAACTCATGCTGATCCTCTCTACACGAGTTTTGCTTCGAATTCGCAAAATTTTATTAAAGTTGTGGACTTGAGCAAAATAGTATTGTGTCAGTCTTTATATTCACTGTTTACGTACATACTGCGATATAATGGTTTGTTTACTTCCGGTAAGTAAAACTTGACCAGCAATTAAAAATATAATCGATAAGTTGATAAGTGACCCTAAATGATTTTAGTTACAATTCATTACCTTTGTAAGCCATATGATATAGAGGCAACCAACTTGGGGTTCATTTGATAAACAGTCATATATATTTTTTTGTTATTTATGGTCGCATCAACATTAGGTCATTATAGACTACTATTGCATTTAACGATACGGTAACTGTGAAGATTACATGATACGGTGATGATAGTGGGTGAAAGGAGGTGATCATAGGGGGTGAAGCACAATACAAACATACCCGAAATGGGACTCGAATCCGCGAGCCTTTGGACCGAAATCGCTACTGCACTATTGCCTTAACGGTCTCGGCCATCCGGACCAGCAGTCATAGTTTATTTTGAGATTAATTTGCTTACTACGTGTTTAATTGTCCCAAAACATATTCAATAATGCTTCACTTTCAGTATTTTACTTTCTCGCTCTCATTTCGCGAGAAAAGAAAGTGGTATAATCGTTCTCCGGAAAATTGCGAATTTTCTACTGAAAAAATCATACTGCCATATCCTTTTTCTGATGAAAAAGTGGAATAATGTTCAGTTGTTTTCCTTCCTTAATCTATAATTCCTAAAATAATATCAAACTACGTAATATAATTCTTTTCTTTTGAAATTTCAGTGGGTCAACGCAGACGGTCAGCCGATAGCATTCATGCCACCGCAGCCGTTTCTCCAACATCCTGGAATGGCTGTTCCCGGGTTCCCGCCTCAAAACATGTACTACATAGTGCCGAAACAGGACGCCTCAGGGCACAGCGTTGCGGCTCCCATGGAGTGCGGGATGTTCTACAACTACCCAAACAATGCAATGATCCAAATTATGCCAACGCCATCTCAAACCCAAATGCTTGATTGCCAAGGAGACGCGGCCTCTCCCTCTTGTCTTGTTCATCGGCAATCCAAAGAGCAAGTTCTAAGCGATGCAGATTCGTCCGGGGATGCTCCATCTAGCAATCTGCACGAAAAGGTTTGTTTCAAGTTAAACGGAAAGTAGTATTGCTGTAGTTACTGTAAACTTTATTTCCCTTTAAAAAGAACTGAAAAACACTGTTTTTTTAGCTTTTTTCCTAAAAATATTTAAAACTATTTTGGTCAAGAGTTGTTCTAGATTGCATCACATTGAAAATTGTTGGATTGCTTGTATTTTTTGTTTCTTTATTTTTTTAAATTTATTTCAAAGGAATGCAAATTTGCCAAAAGTTACAAATTGTAATTAATTAATTAATTATGTGGTAGTGAATTTGTAATGAATTCTGTGTTTATGTTCTTCGTGTAAGATAATAAAAATACAAAATAGACACTCCAGGTTTACCAGTAAAATTCATTTTTGACAGTGTGTCGAGAAATTTTCGTGGATTTTTGGGAACAGGATTCAACTATCAGTTCCAAATTAATGTTCATTAACTTACAATGGCATCAAAATATCTTTCATCGAAAATGAATCTTAGCGCATGTGACTGGAAGCAGAATTGTCATTTCGACTAGAATACTTTTTTATTTCCTTTATAAATAGAATTCCTCCGTATATTTGTGTCATGTATCTGTTCATTGGATACTTTGAGAAAGACACTTGTTTGCTGTCTACAGATTCTTGCATGCCTATTAGCTGCGTACTACTCTATTAGCATCACTAGCTGCTTACAAACAGTTCGTGAAAAACGTCCCAAACAGGTATTCAATTTCTTGTAGCATCTTGAACATTTCTTACCTGGTGGGAGATAACTGGTTAGGAAAACCGCCGCCTGGCGGCGCCGGATCTCGCGCAATAAAAAGCTCCATTTAGCTCCCGCGGTAAAAACATGCATTTCACTTGCGGGAATAATGACCCTTATCAGTTGTCGCGCGCGGTAACTCAAATCCAAATCAATCAATTAAACACGTTCATTCCAACTATTCTAACGTTATTGCAAGTTTTAGCTATTTTTCCTAATTGCGCCGTATTTATTGGTTTAAACTCCTTAAATATAAACACATGGCTAAGGTAAAATGCACCGCAGTTATAGCACTGAAGTTGTCGCTCCAGGTGTCGGAGGCCTTGGAAAAGGATGTGAAGGAGGAGCTGCCCTTCACATCAGCAATCGATGCATCGGACACCGACACTCCCGACGCCGCGCTCGCCAGCGCTGGCGCCGACGCGGACGCCGACACCGACGCCGACGCGGCGGCGCCGAAGCGAAAGCCTGCCAAGAAACGGAGATCCAAGAGCAAGCAGCAGGCAAGAGACACGTCTAAAATTCGATTTGCCACATCGATCTCGGCCAAGCCTCGTGGCCAAGCTCTGGGTCGGCGAGTTCGCTTTCCACTACGCGGCCCTGGGTTCGATTCCCAGTCAGGCAACATTATAGTGTGCGTTTTCCTTGCAATGTCCCAGTATTTGTTCCCGTGTGAAGATGAGAAAATTGACTGCTCAGGTTGAGAAGACCGGAATTACGGCGAGGGGAAGTCTGTGTGCTAACCACACGTACCCCTTTAACCCATGACCGTGAGGCAGGGACGTCGCCAGTAGTTCTGAGCCCGATCACGGGCTGTCGCGCCAAGTATATACATACATCGATCTCAGCAATTTGCATCCATGTGGTGATGTGTTCATCTCGATGACTGCAGCATCCTGTTGAGCAAGTGATAACGATGATGATTATGATGGTCTGATTCCCATATTAATAATTATTATACTTTTTCCTTTACATAGCCCTTCATTTGTTTAGCCCTACAGATATACGTGCTAGCTGCAGAGATTTATCTTACTTGGTTGTTAAGATCACTCATACGATACTAGTATTTTCGTCAATGTTTCGATCTATTAAGTAATGATATATTTATGTATTATAATGGTATTATGCTCTATCGCCTCTCCGTGTTCTAAATATAATTTTAGACTAGCGACTTCTCTCTCGAGAAAAAATATAATACAAAACGTCGGAGCCATTTTTGAGAAAAATTTGAAAGTGTCGTTAAGAACACCTAAAATTCAAAATATCTGAAAAATCATAAAGTATATTCAAATTTACAACTTTCGTATGGAAAATATATTTTAATTTGTTAGTAACAAAATGAAATGTACGTATTGCCTGGATATACATTTTTTCACAATCCTTTTTTAGTCTGGAAAAAAAGGCCCATCCTGTTCCGCCTAATTCTATTCAAGGGTATCTCTGCCCTGCTCCAGACCAACCCGGTTTCCCTCACCTTGCCCCGCAAAACCCCCACATACCCTCCCTAACCTCGCGCCCCACCTTGCACTCTTACCCCCCCCCTTAATCCATCTTACTCCACCTTCCCCGCATTGCTTAGCCTTGCCCCACTTAACCCCAACTTATCCCGCCTTTCCCGACCTTACCCAACCTTACCCCACCTTACTCGACCTTGCTCCGCCTTATCCTGCCTTTCCCAACCTTACCCCAACTTGCCCTATCTT